TAGTACAAAAACAAAAACAAATACACAGAAACACTGACAGAAGAATAAGATGGGAAGATGGTTATAAACCCTCAATGTGGGCGGGGAATGTTATTTCAGTTCTTCCTTATGTATTTTGTTACTTTGTAAAAGTAATTATTGATACGTGTGTACTTACTGCCCTTTTTACTTACTTTCCCACTGTTTTGTATTTCTTCTGGCCCTTTCTTCTTCTCTTGCTTTATTTCTTCATGATTTCATTATTTTCTGTAGCAGTATGCTTAGATTCCTTTGTCTTTAACTACTGTACATCTACCAAAGGTTTTCTCTTTGTGGTTACCACAAGACTTACATAAACAACTTATATTTATAGCAGTCTACTTTAACTTGAACAGAACTTAACTTTGATTGTGTTCTAAGCTCTAGCATTTTATTCTCCCATGTTTATATTTCTGATGTCACAATTTACATGTTTTGTGCATCCTTTAATAAATTATCATAGTTATACTTTTTTTTACTTCTTTTGGCTCTTTAACCTTCTTCCTAACTTTATAAGTGATTAACCCTTACAATATTAGATTATTCTGAATTTTGTCATATATTTGCCTTTACCAATGAGATTTATACATTTATATGTTTTCCTGTTAATAATTAGCACCCTTTTACCTCAGCTTAAAGAATTCCTTTAACAGTTCTAATAATGCTGGTCTAGGGGTGATTAACTTCTTTAGCTTTTGCTTGTCTTGTAAACATTTTAATCTCTCTACATAGCAAGTTGTTTTTTTCTTACCACCCTGGAGATTCTCTCCCTCTCTTTAATTTTGACAGTTTAACTATAATGTACATTGGTGTGGGTTTCTTTGAGTTCATCTTACTTGCAACTTTGTAGGTTTCTTGGATCTGTATGCCTATTTCCTTCCCAAGGTTAGGGAAACGTTCAGTCCCTATTTCTTCAAATACGTTTTCTGCCCCCTTTCTCTTTCTTCTGGGGCTCTTATAGTGAGAGTGTTGGTCTGCTAATGTTGTCCCATCAGTCCGCATCTTTAATCTTTTGTATGGTGGTGAGTTCCACTATCCTGTCTTTAAATGTATTAATACTTTCTTCTGCTTCCTCTAGTCTGGTATTGAAACTTTTTACTGTATTTTTCAGTAAAATTATTGTATTCATCAGCTCTGTGACTTCTGTTTGATGCTTTCTTATATTTCCTATCTCTTTGTTGAAATTCTCACTGCTTATCCATTCTTTTTCCAAGCTTAGTGAGCATTTTATAGCCATTATTTTTAACTCTTTATCAGGTAAATCACTTATTTTCACTTTGTTAAAGGCTTTTTCTGAGGTGTTATCTTGTTGTTTCATTTTGAACATATTCCTGTTTCTTCATTTTCCTTGATTCTCTGTGTTGGTTTCTATGCATTAGTTAAAACAGCCAACTCTCCTAATCTTGAAGGAATAGCCTCACTTAAGAGATGACCATTATTGTTTAGCCCTGCCCTGGCTTTTGGTTCTCTCTTAGCTTTGTGATTGTCCAACCACCCTACTTTATTTTTAGTGGCTCTCAGTATTTCAGAGTGTGCCACGACCTGACCAATGCCCCAAAGGGGAAGAGCTCAGTCAGCACCTACATTCAAGGAGGTAAGAAGCCAGGTTCTCAGGCAGCAATGCTTAAAATATGCAAATGTACCTCTTTCAGGGGAAGACTGGGACATGGTCATTTCTGTCTGTTCCTCCTTAACTGAGAAATGGAGTAATAGCCAGTTAAGAGCTGTTTCTTTCTCAGCCACCATCTTTTTGAATTCATGAATACAAACCCTGCAGACTACCATGGGCAGGCAATCAAGGGCCAATTCCTGAGAAGCAGTCACAAAAACCAGAGCACCAGATGCAAAAACTAGACACCAAATGTGTGTATGAGTTCCTTGCTAGGAAATACCCGCACTCTGGAGTGCAGCAAAGAGAGAGATGTAATCTCTTACAATCCCTGGAGAGGATTACAGCTGGCTCTTAGTTTAATTAGAACCTGCTTCTCAGGCCTCATTTATAAAGATTGTTCCCCACTACCTCGATCCCCAGAGAACACCTAAGTAGGCCTCTAGCTGTATGCCAAACCAGAAGCTGGCTTCCAAAGATAGATGTTTTGGGGACTTGTCTGTCAGGTGCCTATCTTAAAACTGGGGTTCCAGATGTTATCAGACCTATTTAGCTACTCATTTCTGTTATCATTTTATCTTAATTGGTTTAGGGGAAGCAGTACAAAGTCAAAAGTGGAGTTACTTGGCAAAATGTTAGTGACTCTGCTTTAGCACAGATTCATTCTTCAAAAAGAATCTTATGTGCTAGGTTGAATCTAATAACATGTCATTTAGTAGCGTTAACTACAAAATCCTGGACTTTGGTTAAAGGAATTAGCTGTACAAGTACAGACAGATTAGAAATGTTTTAAAATTAGTGAATATTTGGCATGTCTATGGGGCCTCAGTTGGATAAGTGTCTGACTCATTATTTCAGCTCAGGACTTGATCTCAGGGTCATGAATTTAAATCCCACACTGGGCCTCATGCTGGGTGTGGAGCTTACCTAAAAAAATAGTGAATATTTTAATCAATTTTGGGATTAGTTTGCATCAAAACTATGACAGAACCACCGGTACTATGAGACCATAGCCTGCATTGATAGAAGTCTAAGGTAGAATGAGGCTGTTCTAAGTCTTACCAATCTCAGTACTGATCAGACTATATGTGAAATATTATATTTGCTTCAGAGTTGATTTTGTTAGAGTATAAAAACACAGTGTGCCCAGATGAAAGAGGAAGATAGTAAAGGGGTTCAAGCCTGTCATAATAATAATACTTATAATTTTATCCTCTTTGTATACCTTTTGAGAAGAAATCTCATCAGGCTGTTTTGGTTTTTTTTAATTGATATCCTTTGAAACACCATAATAGGTAGATAACCATAGTTGTTCTGAAATCAGACCACCAGGATTCAAATCTCTCCTTTACAATTTCACAGCTAATTTAATTGAATTCTTTAAGACTCAGTTCTTGCAAATCCAAAGACTAAGTGAAGCTTGTCTAAGGTAGAATTATTAAGTGACACACATCTTGATGTATCACGATGAAATTCATTCAAGGGTAGAGAGAAAATAATCTAAATCTTCAAAAATTAGTAGGGAAAAAAAAAAAAACCTAGAAGTTTACTTCAAAGGAATTAAGAGTAAATGACCATCTTAATCTCAACATTGGAAGCTTAAAAAGCATGGGGGAAATTCTATCAATGAGAGCTATGGACTGTAGGCCAAGGATCTATACCTAGAGAAGGTATCATTTACAAATCCTTATTAAAGGGGCACCTGGATGGCTCAGTTGGTTAACCCTCTGCCTTTGGCTCAGGTCATGACCCCTGGTTCCTGCTCAGTGGAGAGTCTGCTTTTCTTCCTGTCCATCCGCCCCCCTTATGCTCACACTCTCATTCTCTCTCTCAAATAAATACTAAAGTCTTTTAAAAAATCTTTATTAAAGAAAAACATTAGTCTATGCAAGGATTCAAAATGTATAATCCAAATAACAAGTCTGCAGAAACTATGGAAAATTTCTCTAATCAAACAAAAAAGAAAATGGATCAGCAAACTTAAGTATATGAAGAAGGTAATGAATATTTGTGTGTGTGTGTGTGTGTGTGTGTGTGTGTGTGTGTTGGAAATTTTGTTCATGTGTTGCTCAAGAATCTTTGCAATCAAATAATTTTATGGAAAAAAAATAATATTACCCTGGTATTAAAAGTACTAGATTATCTCTAAATCATTCAACAAAAAGGGAAAATTTTTCTAGAAAATATTATATACAAATGTGTTATCAACAACAGAAAACTTAAACATATATGTCAGAAATATTTAATAAATAAGAATAACTCAATAAAATACAATTATATCATGCCTCAATAAAAATAGGACATTTTAGTGTTTAAAAGGAATCAAACTATGATGGCATCAAATATTCATTTTTATCCTAAAATATACATACTATGACATATGACATATTTGAAAGCATCTCCTATATATGGTATATATGACATTATGTAAATATGATATTTTAAATACTTCACATACATCATATATACATACTGTGACATATGTGTCACATTATATGATATATATATATATGATATATGATATATATGTAATATATGTGTCACATATACCACATATAATATGCCATGCTCTGTATGACATTTTAAAATACTGCATATTTATGGTATATGTCATATATGTTATGATATATGTATGATATATTTTAAAATATCTCATTCACCAATTATGATTAGTAATAACAATCAAATGTTTACCATAACCTTAATTAACTATTTAGATATTAAGAAATATTCTTAGTCCATTTCTCTGATTAAATAAAAAGAGGAAAACTTGCCTCAATGACTGGTTTCAGGCATTATTTTTCTGTATAAAGTGGCAAATAGAAAATTTTTGTGTTTCTCTGTATTTCTTACACCATTTACAATAAATAGAAAAATAAGTTAATAAAAATTAATCTACAAAAAAAAATCCCACTATCTCCCTACATTGAGTTGGTTTGAGAAGAAAGGCAGGGCTCTGATTTCCGTTGAGAACAGAAAGGAAAGGAAAAGAAGATATATAGATGATCTGAGCAATAAAATCAGTACTTTCATCTCTCAACAAAGATGCTCATTTAATCAACCGGGGCTAGGATATACATACTCAAGGAGAATTCATTAAATAGGTCTCTATGTCTTATTCCTCAAGAGTCTCAAGTTTATATATCAATCACCCACATGATATAATTTTAACTTCATTAGTAATAACTTCATCACATATCCCTGTCATCTGAATTTGCAACTTTTCTTGTCCTAGAAACGCTGTTGCCATGAGCAAAATTATGCTAATAATAGGATATAATTCACCAATGAAAGAATTCATTTCTAATTTGATTCTTTTATTAAGGTAAAACATTATTTATACTGTTTTTGTTTCTTTTGTTTGTATTGCAAGTGAAGTCCTGTGATTTTCCAGAAATAAAACATGGACAGTTATACAATGAGAATAGATATAGATCATACTTTCCAGCAAGATTAAGAGACTATTTTGCCTATTACTGTGATACCAATTTTGTAACTCCTTCAAAACATAGTTGGGGATACATTACTTGCACATCCAAAGGATGGGAACCAGTAGTACCATGCCTCAGTAAGTAAACCCTTTTCTAATTGTATATCTGTGAATATTTCGAAGAGTAGAGGGGGGAAAAAAACGCATAAGTGAGTATTATTAAGATGACAAAAAGAAGGCCAAGGGACGAGTTGATGAGTTTTAGGAGGAAAAAGGCCTGTATAAATTTTCCCTTTTATAAAGAGCTCTTCATAAAAATCACATTACAAATAAAGACAGGAGCTTTTCAAAAACGCCCATATCATTCATACATGTTTTAATTATAAAAACAGAAGATAATATTGAATATTATTTTTTTCTTTTTCCACATGTGATAGTAGCTTTAGTTTTTCTTGAGTTGCATGTTATTTTTGGATACTTGTGCATTATAATTTAAAATTTGTACAAATAGTTTTTAACTTACCATTTTCAATGAATTTATGGGTTTTTAAAATTTTTGCTCATAATTTTTATGATTTTTAGGACAGTGTATTTTCAGTTATTTGAAAAATGAAAGTGCTACAAGGTTTGGACAAAAATATTTCCAAGATGAATCTGTGAGAGTTCAATGCAGTTCTGGTTACAGTCTTCAAAATGAGCAGACTATAATGACATGTACAGAAGATGGCTGGTTCCCTCCTCCAGAATGCATTCCTCTCAGTAAGTACTTGGTCTGAGATCCCAGTATATTTATGGTTTTCTAACCCCCATTTTTATTAACTGTCTATGCCAATGCATATACTTATCTTTATTTTTTCCAAGTACGTATGAATGGATATACAAATTTCTTGATACATATACACCAAAATAAATGTCTACTGATAGGTATTAGTAAAGAAAACAGTAAATGAAACACAAAGAAGAAACCTATAGTAATAGAGTGACACCAGGAGTGGAGGGAAGAAGATGGCAGTGGAGTAGGAGGAACCTAGGCATGCCTCATCCCATGAATACACTGAGATAACCATATGATCATCCTAAATACCCTAGAAATTGACCTGAAGACTGGCAGAACAAATCTGAGAACTAAAGTTCATGGAGAGACCACATTGAAGAAGTAAGATGTAGAGAGACACAGTTTGAGAGGAATAGATTGTGGTCACTGAGATGGGGAGAGAGCTATGGTCACAGAGAAAGATTAGCACACCAGGGAGCACATGGGAAAATGAATCACTGTGGCAATTGTCTTGAAAAGTGAGAGAGCCCAAATTTCATAGTTCTTATAACCAGTGGGGTTTAAAGACTGGGGTTTTAAAGGTAGTGTACTTGGCTCTAGGACAGTTCAAAGAGCATTAGGACTTGGAGAAAAGGCAACCAAGAAGCCTGAGAACATACAGCTGGAAAGAGCAATCCGAAGAGTACCCAGAGCACACAGTTAGGAGTTTATTGCAGAAAGGCAGTTTCCCCAGAGACCCCTTAGGGAACAAAGGAACTGGCAGGTTCCATTTCCCCCGCCCACCCTTCAGCATAAACAGAGAGCCACCTGTAGGAACCAGCACAGGGCCAGCGCTCACTATCTAACTTGCTCGTACCAAGTCCCATCTCCCTGTGCTCCAGTGGGAACACACTTCCAGTCATGCTTGCCTCAGTCCCTGAGCAACCAGCCTCCCCCCACAGTACGTCCATTACACTCAAGATTAGGAGAAGTAGCTGACTTTCTGAACAAAGAAGCATGCACAGAAGTTTAGAGAAAATGAGAAAACAGAAGAATTTGTCCCACATGAAAGGAAAATACAAGACCACAGTAAACTATATATTAGCAATATACCTGATAGATAATTTAAGGTAATGATTGTAACAAAACTCACTGGACTTGTGAAAAAAGTCAAAGACCTAAGTGAGACCTTTAACACAGAGATAAAGAATAACATAGCAGAGATCAAGGGCTCAATAAACAAAATGAGAAACAGCTTGGAATGAACAGCACACTGGAAGAAGCAGAGGAAAGAATTAATGACCTAGAAGACCAAGTAACATAAAGTAATTAAGGTCAATAAAAGAGAGATAAAAGAATTGTGCAAAATGAGAAAAGACATAGGGAACTCAATGACTCCATCAAATACAATAACATTCATATTATAGGAGGCTCAGAAGAAACAGAGAGTGAAAATGGGGCAGAAAATATATTTGAAGAAATAATAGCAGAAAACTTCCATAATCTGGGGTACGAAACAGATACCCAGACCAGGAGGCATAGAGAACACCCCCAAAATCAACAAATGCAGAACCATTCCAACACATATCATAATTAAATTGGCAAAACATAGTGATATATACACAATTTTTAAAGCAGCAAGACAAAAACAAACAAACAAACAAAAAGACAGTAACATAGAAGGGAAAACCCATAAGGCTACCAGGGGATTTTCAGCACAATTTTCCAAGTCAGAATTGAGTGGCCTGGTAAATTCAAAGGGCTGAATGGGAAAAACCTGCAGCCAAGAATATCCTATCCAGAAAGTCTATTATTGAGAACAGAAGGAAAAATTAAGAGTTTTCCAGACAATCAAAAATTAATGGAGTTCATGACCACTAAACCAGCCCTGCAAGAGATAGATAGTGACAGTACAAATGTATGAAACAAAGCAGTAAACATGTATATTTATGTAAAAAAAATTCAGTCAAGGAATTCACAGAATAAAAGCATGTAAAATATGACTCCATATATCTGGGGAAAAGAGGAGTAAGAATGGGTTCAAACTAAAATGACCATCAACGGGGCACCTGGGTGGTTAAGTGGGTTAAGGCCTCTGCCTTTGGCTTGGGTCATGATCTCAGGGTCCTGGGATCAAGCCCCACATCAGGCTATCTGCTCAGCAGGGAGCCTGCTTCCCTTCCTCTCTCTCTGCCTGCCTCTCTTCCTACACGTGATCTCTGTCTGTCAAATGAATAAACAAAATCTTTTAAAAAAATTTTTAAAAATGACCATCAACTTAATATGGATTGCTACATGCAGATGTTATATACAAACCCAATGGTAACCACAAATCATAAACCACTAATAAATATACAAAGAACAAAGGGAAATAAATCCAATATGTCACTAAAGAAAACCAGCAAACCATAAAGGAGAGAAAGATGAAAGAGGATCAGAGAAAATCTTCAGAAACAACCATAAAACAGGTAATAAAGTGCCAATAGATACATATCTATCAATAATGACTTTGAATGAAAATGGATTAAATGCTCCAATCAAAAGACATAAGTTGACAGAATATATAAAACAAGACCCATCTATATGCTGCCTACAAAACTCATTTTGGAACAAAAATCACCCGAAGATTGAACGTGAGAAGATGGAGAATATTTATCATGCAATGAGTGTCAAAGGAAAGTTGGGGTATCAATGCTTATTTTGGACAAAATAGATGTTGAAACAAAGACTGTAATAAAAAACAAAGAAGGACAACATATAATAATAAAGGGGATGATCCAACAAGAAGGTGTAACAATGGTAAATATTTATGCAACGAACATGGGAGCACCCAAATTTAAAAAAAAAAAAAAAACTGTTAATAACATACGTAAAAGAACTGACCAATAATAATACAATAATAGTAGAGGACTTTAACACCCCACTTACATCAATGGATGTATCCTATAAACAGAAAATCAACAAGGAAACAATGGCTTTGAATGACACACTGAGTCAGATTGGTTTATATATTCAGACCATCCTATCATAAAACATCAGAATGCACACTTTTTTCAAGTGCAAATACAATAGAACACATATTAGGCCACAAAACAAGCTTCAACAGATTCAAAAAGATCAAAGCCATACCATGCATCTTTTCAGAATACAATACTATAAAACTAGAAATCAACCCCAAGAAAAAAATCCAAAACACCACAAATACATGGAGGTAACATAACATGCTACTAAACAATGAATGGGTCAACAGGAAATAAAAGAAGAAATTTAAAAGTTCATGGAAATTAATGAAAATGACAACACAACAGTTCAAAACCCTTGGGATTCAGCAAAACTAATCCCAAGGGGGATGTTAGTAGCCATAAAACCTAGCTCAAGAAGCAAGAAAAATGTCAACTAAACAACCTAAACTTACACCTAACGGAGCTGGAAAAACAACAAGAAACAAAACCTAAAACCAGCAGAAGGAAGGAGATTATTATTTCTGCTCTAATCTTTATTATTAGAGCAGAAATAAATGATACAGAAACTAGAAAAACAATAGAACAGATAAATGAAACCAGGAACTCTTTCTTGGGAAAAAAAAAATGATAGATTTGATAAACCTCTGGTCAGTTTTATCAAAAAGGAAAAGGAACAAAAAAAATCACAAATAAGAGAGGAGAAATGATAATCAACACTACAAAAATACAAGCAATTATAAGAGAACATTCTGAAAACTGCATGCCAACAAATTGGACCACCTAGAAGAAATGGATAAATTCTTAGACACATAAACCTACCAAAACTGAAACAGGAAGAAACAGAAAATTTGAACTGACCAATCACCAGAAAAAAAATTGAGTCAGTAATCAAAAACCCCAATAAACAAAAGTCCAAGATCAGATGGCTTCACATATGAACTCTACCAAACATTTTTTAAGATTTTTTTAGTTATTTTGGGCGGGGGAAGTAGGGGAAGAGGGAAAGGCAGAGAGAGAATCCAAGACTCCCTGCTGGGCACAGAGCCCGACATAAGGCTACATCTTATGACCCTGAGGTCATGGCCTGAGCTGAAATCAAGAGTCAGACATTTAACTGACTGAGCCACCCAGGCACTCCTCTTCTAAACAATTAAGGGAGAGTTAATACCTTTTCTTCTCAAACCATTTTTAAAAAAATGAAAAAGGAAGGAAAGCTTCCAAATCCATTTTATGAGGCCAGCACTACCCTGATAACAAAAGCAGATAAAGACACCACAAAAAAAGAGAACCACTGGTCAATATTTTTGATGACACAACTGACACAAAAATGACACATGGACACAAAAATCCACAACAAGATACTAACTGAATCCAATGTACATTTTTAAAAATTACTCACCACAATCAAGTGGAATTTCTTTCTGGGTTTCAAGGGTGATTCAATATTCACAGATCAACTAACATGATATATCACATCAGTAAAAGAAAGGCAAGGACTATATGATCACTTCAACAGATGCTGAAAAAGCATTTGACAAAGTACAACATCTATTCATGATGAAAGCCCTCAACAAATTAAGGTTAGAGGGAACATACTTCAACATAATGAGGGCCACATATGAAAAATCTAACGTTATCTATAATGGGGGAAAATTGAGTCCTTTTCCCTTAAGGTCAGGAACAAAACAAGGATGTCCCACCACTTTTCTTCAACATAGTACTGGAAGTCCCAGCCACAGCAATCAGAAAACAAAAAGAAATAAAATACATCCAAATCAGTAAAGAAAAAGTAGAATTGTCACTATTTGCCAATGACATGGTATTCTACATAGAAATCCAAAAGACTCCATCAAAACCTGCTAGAACTGATCAATGAATTCAGTAAGTTGTAAGTTACAAAATCACAGTACAGAAATCTATTGCCTTTCTATACAGCAGTAATGAAGCAGCAGAAAGAAAAATTAAGAAAACTGTCCCATTTATAATTGCACCAAAGATAATACAATACCCAAGAGTAAACCTAACCAAAGAGGTAAAGGATC